TGGTCTTCTTAAAATTCCTATATTTTAGTGAATATACAAACAAAGTCATGTTAAGGTTGTTGGTACTACAATATAACGATTGTTGTGTGTACAAATTCTCTGTTGTGGAAGCAATGATTTTGGACTGTGGGAAGGAGCTGGTGATCTACACAGGAGTAACAGGGCCATATTGACAATATAAAAATAAATAAAATGACAGATTAATGTTGTAAATTCACGAGAATGAAGTCAAAGCACTATTGGAAAAGAAAAAAAGTTTTTTGGAGGAGAAATGTTGCAAATTTATGTAAAAAAAAAAAAAGTCAGTACATTTCCAGAGAAAATATGCTAATTTATGAGAATCAAGTCGTAATATTACTATAAACGAGCACCTTGTCTGACTCACGCATTGTGACATTCTATCAAATAAATAATAATATTAAATGCATTTGCTTAACTTTAGACTTCAATCATGTCAAATTATGACTTTATTCTCAAAAATTAACAACTTTTTTATCATTACATTGAAACTTTTTCTTGTAAATTTATTTATTTATGACTTTATTCTCAAAAATTAACAATTTTTTTATCATTACATTGAAACTTTTGTTTCTTAAAATTGTAACTTTTTCTTGTAAATTTATTGATTTATTTTTATTATATTACATTACAATGACAATATATAAACATTACAAATGTTTCTCTCGTAGCGCTTTGACTTTGTTCTTGTGTATTGACCTTGATGTTACTGCTTTGAATGTTGCCCTAATACTGCAAACATTGGAAGAAAAATGTTTATACAATAATATAAAGTTACATTAAAGCAAGCAACATTCTTGATCTGGACCATAAAGCTACAGTGAAATGTGTTGTTGTGACAAGCCTGCACAGACTTTTTCTTCTGTTTGTTTTTTTCCAGCCAACACAATACCATCCATCCCTGTCCTGTCTCTCCATCACACACATACAGCTCCATACCCCTCTGCGTGGACACTGATGAACAGGAGGACGCCGAGGAGGAGGAAACAGATGCAGAGCTTGCTGACAGCCGGTACAGCCAACACCACAACGGGCAGAAGCACAAACAACAGCTGCTCCATCCCTCTTCACGCAAACTGCTCTTCCACGGCCTGGACCCGACACCAGACTCCAGCACCGGGGATCTGGACAGATCAGTCACGGGCTCAATGGTTAACAGCTGGGGCTCAGCATCTGAGGACAACATTTCTTCAGGCAGGTCCAGCATTGTGAGCACATCAGAAGGTTCCTTCTTCACCGATGGCGATTTCAACCAAGCTGTAGCCTCCTCCAGAGATATCGTGGGCCTGCGGATGTGCAGATACCCCGAGGAGAGAGGTAGGAATTTACTGCATGGATTTTTACGGCCCTTCTTTTGAGAAACAGTTGGTCATTGTTTATTGTAATTTTTATGGCCTCTCTGCTATATTTAAAATATATATATATATATATATATATCATATTCTTTCTCTCATCACTAGGTCACAGTGTATAAAGTTATACACTGTGACCTACTGAGAGAAGCTTTTGTTTAATACATTTTCATTCATGTACTCTGCAATAGTATTACTCACCTAGTACTGTCTCCAATACTTATTTTTCTCTAAGGCAGTGTTATATAAATGTCACAGCTCTGCGGGAAATAACTCTGAGGTCGACGAGCAGGAAAATGCTTAATTTGCTTTATTTTTCTTCACATTTACACAGACATTTTCAAGTACATGCAATAGTATCTGAACAAAGTATGGGCCCCTGTCTTGGTAGTTTTGGACACAGGCTGCTGCAGAAAACTGTGTGTGTTTGGTTTTCTTTTCTCGTCTACTTTACAGTAAAACTTCTGCTTAATCTGTGTTTCAGTGCGACAGCACCATCGGCCCAGCAGCCCTCTGTCTACAGACAGCAACATGAGTCCGGCTGTAACACATAAAAGACCCAGGAGGCATAAACAAAACCAGTGTGGTCAACAAGGCTCCAAACTGAGAGACATCTTCAATGATGGTAAGTATGAAATTATGTTGAAACATTAACAGCTCTCCATTAGAATAGATGTATCTATCCATCTTAGATGGAGGGAGGGAGGGATAGATAGATAGATAGTTAGAGGGAGGGATAGATAGATAGTTAGAGGGAGGGATAGATAGATAGTTAGAGGGAGGGATAGATAGATAGTTAGAGGGAGGGATAGATAGATAGTTAGAGGGAGGGATAGATAGATAGTTAGAGGGAGGGATAGATAGATAGTTAGAGGGAGGGATAGATAGATAGTTAGAGGGAGGGATAGATAGATAG